GGAACATGTCCGGGAGGTGCTGTCCATTCCATGCCACAGGTGCATGACGGCGCATCCGATCGGAGCCCACCTGTGCACTGCCTGTTATCTTCCCATCTTCTGCATCTTCTGAGAGAGTCCTGCCCACCGGAGACACGGACGGCGGCGCTCGCACGATTGCAAGCACTGATGAATTAATCCCCTCATGGTTGAAGCGATACAGGAACGTCAGCCCCGCCCTGTGGAACAATGCGGACGCCAATGCCATTGGGATGGCCCTCTACTCGCAAAGCCCTGCAGTCGATGCTCGGTCGTTGCTGCTGTCTGGAATGAGGCCTCCGAAGTTCCTCGGCAAAGAGGACGTCGACCATCTTTCAGAAGCTCCATGACGCGCTCCGGGACGAAATAGTCCACAACAGATATCAAGATACCGTAGACCACAACGTGGAGGAGTGGGTGGCGAAAGCGATCTTGGTGAGGGGTCTTGCGTTCAACGGGAGCACCGTTTCCGATTTCTTTGAGGAGTATGAGGGATATGCGGCGGAATGGGGCAGACGCCTGACCACTGCAAACTTCAACTCCAATCGCAGTGGCTTCTACACGTCATACTACATGATCGAAGCTCACATCATTGGTTTGAGGTCCGTCCGATACTCCCGAACGACGTGACCGGAGATGAGTTCAAGTTCCAAGTGGCGCTTCTCGCTCAACACTGCGGGGTGATGCAAGCCATGCGGAGAAAGGCCGGCTTTGACCCTGCCGCGCGCCTCAAACGGGCCATGGATGCGGTGCAAGCAGGCGTTAAAACGGGCTACGTCTACACGCTCAACGACCTCAGCAGCATGGATGAGTTGATCTACCGAACATCCACCGTCGCCTACGACACGTGCTTGGCTGACCGTCCGCAAACTCAGGATGACGTCAAGCAGGAGCTGTCCGATCCGACGCCTAGGAAGTATCGCTTCCGCCCCGCGATCGTCAACGACCTGGAATCCGCCTTACACCAGGCCCCGGCGTGAAGGACGAAGAAGAGCCCGACTTTGCTGGATCCTGGTAGAACCGGAGACTCCCGTGGTGTTCCACACAAGCATCGGTCCTGGCGGAGCTGCGCCTGTTCCTCCTCCTCCTCCCGTTCCAATTGCGGCTGATGTCACGACGGCTAGGGACCCACTCCCTGATACTGAGTCTGAGATGGAGGCTGATCCCGATCAATCCAAAGCTAGGAGGACGTCCCGTGGTCGAGTCCCCGCGCCCGAAAAAGGGCAGGAGGGCGTTCGCATCCCTTCTGGTGGGCAGCCAGGCTCTAAGAGCATGGCCCAGCCTGCTCTGCGTCTCCGGTCTGCCACTGGCTCCTCGGGCGGCCCAAGCAACTACGACCCGCGGGATGATGATGATGGGGAGTGGGAGCTTCCTCCGGGCGTGCCTCGGACCACTCGTGCAGCTGATGAGTCACGGCCCCACCGGGCTGATGATCGGTCAAGAACCGCGCTTGGCGCACGTGACGACCGTCGCGGTCCTCGAGGAGAGGGCAAAGGTCGAGGAAAGCACCGACCTGGTAAGGGTGGACGTGAGGATCCTGGCCCGCCCCGACAAAGGGATGAACGTGCCAGAGATGCCCGCGGAGGCCGGCGCGATGATCGCCGACCTCCTCCACGCCATGACGAACCGTCCAAGAGGCGTGGTCCAGGGCGAGATGAGCGCCGCGGACGTGATGGCCCCGCTGACGACCGTCGCGATCGTCACCGCGACCGCAGAGATGATCGGCGTCATCAGTCGAATCCCCCTCCGCCTCGCCGACCTCCGGCTGGCGACCGCAGCAGGGATGGTGAAGGGGATCGCCGTCGGGATGGAGGAGGCGAGCGTCGGAGAGATGACGCGCCCAGAGACCGGGAAGAACCCGGGTCCGGGTGGTAGGCGGGTATCGCAATCATTATCCGCCTTAGAAGGGCGAGGATGATGAACGCGTCGCCGAAAAAGGCGGCTGCGCCGGCCCTCTACTCGCTCATGCGACGCTGCTGTGGGTGATGATCTCCATTGCCCTGTACCGCTGATCCGGCGTTGTTCATGCTCCTCCCGCACCGCTGCCGTGCGCGCTGGAGATGGTTCCCCGGCCGTAGATGGGTAATTTCTCACCAATCCGTCGGAATTTCCGTTTCAAATTCCCTTTCAACTCGATACCATCTTCAACCACGTTGTGGCGTGCCGTGAGGTGCGGTGATCCAGATAGGATCCCCCTCCGGGTGTCACTGTCCCAAAGCAATACATGAACGGCACGAGAGGAATCTTTGTCTGGCTCCTCCAATATGTCCTTGTTCACTCATGTGGCCCATTCGTCAAATAATCCTGTCGCCCCGCTAATTTGGGGTGGTGGCGGGATTTTAACTGGGGCCCAGGTGATGCCGTTTGGCTCACCTCTGAGTTGACGCTGGCATTTTGGTAGGTTCCTTTCGTCGTGAACTCAACTAACTGTCATGCATCCTTTCTCTCGTCCAGACATCGGATGAGGGGTGTGTGTTTTGTTCACGTGTTGTTTCTTCATAAAGCAAACCGGCCGAATGGCCGTGTGGCTCAAGATTTCTGACTCCCGTCAGTGATTGCTAGGTAAAACGGTCGGGCGCCATAGCGCGGTGGGCGGGCTGGTCTTCAAGGGTAAGGTCTTGGGGCCCCTCCCTCCCGGTGCTGGGGGGCACCCGCGTTTGCGGCTGGCTTTCTCTGGGCCTGTTGGGCATCTACTTCATTTTCTATTTTTTTGCATTCCTTCACCAACCAATATACTTCTAACCTGTTTGCTGTCACGTTCCACAATTTGGTCATCATCCCCATCCCACTGAACTTTGACACCGGGTGCTTTGTCCACGTCGCGGCCATTTGCTTCCCTGGGCTACTCCGTGTTCGCCCAAAACCGCATCTTGTAAGCGCTGTTGGTAGTTGGTGCTGTGTTATTCCATGATGTTGTGTGTGATGCCCTTCTCCCAAGTAGTGATTTTGGTTTGTGCTTGCAAGGTAGTGGCTTTGCTTGCCTGATGATTGTGGGGTGTGAATTGTTGATGGCTCGAAAGTAGTTGGCTGCATCGTTGTAGTCCCCATCGTGTTCATGCCCTTTTCCTTCGTGGTAGTGCCAATTCCAAGTGTCGTTTACGTAGTTCCTGATTGTTGTGCTGAGCCTCGTGGTCTTGCTCAGATAGTTGTTCTTCTCCTTCTCCCATGTGCCATAGCGGGGCTCCGCAATCCTCCTTGGCCTTGTGAGTCACGAGCCTTTGTTTTCTCCTTTGTTGTATCCTCCTTTGTTGCCTTTGTCATGTTGACCCTTTGCAGCGTCCTTTTCTCCTGTACTTGCCTGCGCCTTTGTTTCCTTTGTAGTGTCCTTCGTGCTTTCCTTTGCATTTGTACTATTTTTCCTCCATATGTTGCCAATATCCATTGGAGCCGGTCCTCCATTGTAGTTTGTGCCAATTGCTGAAGTGGATCCAGAGAACGATGAGGCTGTCTTGTAGTAGTCGAGGATGACTGCTCTGATCTTGGTGTAGTTGGTGATTTTTCCAGCGCAAAGTTGAAGATGTTGCTGTAGTGATCCTGTGGTTTTGTTGAGTATTGCAATCTTCACTTCGTGTGGTAGCTATGCGCCGTTGTCTTTCTCGTAGCGGTTGATGTCGTAATCCCAGTGTAGGAACTGTTCCTCAAACTGCGCTTCGTTGAATGTTGGTTCTAGTAGTTTGGTAAGGTAGGCAACGCTTCGTGTTCCTACAGATGCGCCGTCACGTTTGTGTCCGCAAGCTGTCGCGTAGCAATTTGTGCGAGTTGCAGCACCAAGTCGAAATCTCTGTCGACTAGTCCAAGGTAGTCTAGTAGTTTGAAGAGCCGTTCTTCAAATTGTGAGTAGTCGCCATGAAAGAACGGTGGTGGCAGTTTGTATCGATGTAGTCCTTGGATGTCGTTGTCTTGTTAATGTTTTGCTTCTGCAAATGTTGCTCCTGCTGTATTTTAGAGAAGTTGTTGCGCCGCCTGCTCCTGCAGTGGGCTGAGCTGATGCTGATGCTGCTTCTTTCATATAGCATGTCGTGGTAGTTTGGCATGTGGTGGCTTTGCTGTTGTTGTGCTTCCCGTCGTGTATTGGAGCGTCGCAGCTCCGCTGACGAATGCGACAAGTGCAAGTGCTATTGTAGGCTTTCACTAACAATCAATGAAGTCTGCTGCGCGCCTTTTTTGCATGAGGCTCGCGTGTAGTATTGAGGCCAAAGCTCAAGGCCTGCAGTAGTGTACATGATACATATTCAACGAGTCGTACAGCGTGCAGTTTGACATCTCTCTCTTTCTGTCTCGCTCTCTCTCTCTCTCTCTCTCTCGTCTTTTTTCCAGAGCAGCTTGGCCGTCGTCGCCCACTGCCTGCCTGGGCGGCCGGCGTGCTGATCGGCTGGGGCGGGCGTGCTGAACGATTTCATTTGTGTCGCATCAGCTGTCATATGCTTTGCACGCATTTCTGGGCGGCCTGCTTGATTCTTTTCTTTCCTTCCTTTCTTTCTTGCATTCCTTTTTGTTTCTGTCCTTTTTCCCTTCATTTCCATCCTTTGTCTTCTTGCTTTCTTGCCGTCCTTCCTTCCTTCCTTCCTTCTGTCTTTCCTTTCTTTCTTTCTTTCTTGCTTTATTTATTTCCTTCCTTTTTCAATATTTCTTGTATTTTTTTGTTTCCTTTCTTGTCTTTCTTTCATTCCTTCTCTATTTCTTTCTTTCGTTTTTGCTTTCCTTCCGTCCTTCCTTCCTTCCTTCCTTCCTTCCTTCCTTCCTTCCTTCCTTCCTCCCTTTTGTTCTTCATTTCTTTCCCACTTTCTTGCCTTTCTTCCTTTCTCCCTTTTCCTCTTGGGTGATCTCCCTATCCCCGTTTCTGAATCTCTATCTCTAGTCCGCTCTCTTTGTCTCTATCTCTATTTTGTCTCTGTCTCCGCTCTCGTTTCTTTATCTTGCCTCGCGTCCCGAAGCTATTTTCTTAACAGGCAGTGCGCCATCTTGCAATGCGCACGCTGCAGGCACTGATGAGGCGTTCCCGCGCGGTCACTACACAGGCGCCTGGGCTGAAATGGGTGTTGTAGAACTGGGCTGAAGTAGCTCGAGGCTTGGCGGCAGCGGCAGCGCGCGGCCCGCGCCGAGTCCGATGCACAGGCCCCAAACCTTGCCACAGACGCCACGAACTCTTCGACGCTGCCACGATCTTGTCGTGTTTTGGCTCTCGCAGGCCCAGCCAGCATTTGGCCATGGTCTGAGCTTGAACGCACTATCCGAAAAGCCTGCTTATTTGGGGCGTACCTGGGCTGGTTCAGGTGTGCCGGGTGACTATGCACTCACCCTAGAGCAGATGGTCATCCAGGCCACCGACCGCGCCCCCAAGCGAGCAAGCGATGTTGCTGGGCGCCGCCAGGGCGTGTTGCCTGCCGAGCTGGCCACTGCAGCTGCGCGAAGCTTCGGTGTGTCCCCAAGAGGCCAACCGCCTTGGTGAGTAAGCGGGAGCATGTCACTTCCAGGTGACAGGCCAACTGTATTCTCAGAAACCGTCGTGTTCACCAGGGCAGACAGGCTTGTTCCAAAGGAGTGGGGTCTCCGCCCGAGGTTGGGATGGCTGCCACGTGATCAGTGAGGGCGCGTTCTTGGAGCTCTTTGTGCCGGTGGCACCTGAGGCGTGCCTTGTAGAGCAGCGTTTTCTACTGCTCATTGTCATTTGAGGAACTTGCTGGGGATGGATCAGAAATGCTCGCATGTCCTTGGCACCGACCTGCCTTGCAGGACTACCACACTTTAGTGCCTGAGCAGCGTGGAGAAGCAAATCCCACGGGTCGCTGTTGCTTTTTTCTTCCTGAAACCTGGGCGCGGTAAGGACTTCATGCGGGCCTTTCGTCGTGCCTGGCTGTTTGTCACTGAGGCGCAGGAGGCACATTTTGCTTGGCATGAATGCGCTCCACAATTTGCAAGCCGCAATCCCTGCCGAGTTGTCAACTCATTTCTCCCTTGGCTTTCTCAAGTGCGTGATGTGGAGGAATCTTCTGACTTCCCATCACCCGGACAGGACCAGGATCACGACATGGTGTGATTGCGATATTTTTGAACTGGCATGTAGGATGGAAGCTGGCTCTTCGGCGAGGGTGAGTTGGAGGCGGGGCTTTGCAGGGAAAGTCTTTCTTGCCACGATGGTGGGCACCCTGAGGCCCGTGGTGTCCATTACAGTCACATCCCCAAAATCGTACGGCGGGTTTTAGGGAGGCCCCTCGACCCCCGAAAAGGATGCCTTGCTCCAAAGGGCCGAAATGTGTGTTAGGCCGCCAGGCCTTGTAAATTGAGTCGAGGTTCTGTTTGAACGCCAGGGGGAGGCTGAGCTCTTGCTGGGCCGACACCTGCGGCCCAGCTCGGCGCCAGCCAGCTCCAGCGGCTGTGCCGAGCCTTGCCGGCAGGCGCGCCAGGTTTGTCTGGCTACAGTGACATCCTCAAAATTGTGCTTAAACTGGTGGAAGGAAACCGTTCCTTCGAAAACGCGTTACCACCCCGACGAAGGTGTCGAACAACGGAATATTTCAGCTTCCGCTTTTGGCATGTCGGGCACTCCGCAGGCGCCAGAAGCGGCTTCTGCAGACGCAGCCGGGCTCCCGTATTGTGAGCGAGTTTCCTTCGCCTGACGACTCCGTTGTGAAGCGGCCGGTTTGGGGGATGTTTGTCTTGAAAAAAGTAAAGCAAAATGCCATGAAAGACAATTGTCCTAGCAATGACTCCCATCGCTACGGCTTCAGGGCAAAGACAATGGCATGGCGAAGGCCAGCCAGTTGCGATGCCTGCATGCGCCAGCTATTCATGATGCTGGGAAAAGGGGTCAGTAGCAAGAATGCTGTGGAGCATGCTGCCAGTCATTTGTCTTTGACTTGCGAGTTTGTGCTGCAACTTGGGCATGAGCAAGCCAAAAAGGCAATTTAGCGATGGACGGCCAACTGCAACTCGTGCCGCTTGCATCATGCAAGTTTAACATGGTGATGCTGTTCTTTTCCGGCCTGTCTCTTTGGGGAGACGCCACAATCAGAGGATCAAAAGCACCTTTGACGGGGTGCACTATTGCTTGGCACAGGCTGAGCGAGCCACGAAACCCACAACAGGTCAGTGGCTGGTTCATGACGTGGAAATCGGCATGAAGACATCACCTTCCCTCATGCTTGCTGGTGTTCGTCAGACTTCGCGGTCGCCTCGCGGCAGGTGGGCATCGCTGGCACCAAGCAGCTGGACAAGGCATGGCTTGTAATTGTGTGGGGCAAGTGTTATCAACAGCATTTCTGGGGATCCCACAAAGAACGGCAGGATTTTCACAGCTTTTCCACATCCAGCACAGCTGATTGTACATAATCATAACCCCCGCTGAGGCCCTGGGACCCTCATCTGGGCCCTTGAGAGGGACCTTCGGCTTCCCGTGTTTCGGCCCGGTCGCGCGACAGCTGCTGCCGGAGCACGAGGAGCTCTCAGAGCACTGCACCCGCCAGGTGCGGGCGAAGGGTGGCCGCCGTTTCGGGCTGCCAGTGCTTGCTGTGCGGTTGTCTCATTTTTCGTGTGTGTGGGCTTGTTTTGTGTGCTGAGTCTGCTTTGCTTGCTTCTGCTCGCTTGCTTGACGGGGGCCTAATCAGGCCCAGATGGCCGGGAGTGTCGTGCGGTGTCGGGTCCGCAAACATTTGCTTGCTTGCTGGATGGCTTGCTTACTTGCTGACGGCTTGCTGGCTTGCTTGCTGGCTGGCTGGCTGCTTGCTTGCTTGCTTGCTGGCTGGCTGGCTGGCTGGCTTGCTTGCTTGCCGGCTGGCTGGCTGGCTTGGGCTGGCTGCTTGTTTGCGTGCTGGGTGGCTGGCGGCTGGCTTGCTGGCTTGCTTGCATGCTTGCTTGCCAGCTGGCTGGCTGGCTGACTTGCTGGCTGGCTGGCTGCCTGCTTGCTTGCTTGCTGGCTTGCTGGCTTGCTGGCTTGCTGGCTTGCCGGCTTGCCAGCCAATGAGAGCAAGCTAGCAAGCCAACCAGCCACCCAGCCAGCCAGCAAGCAAGCAGCCAGCCAGCCAGCAAGCAAGCCAGCCAGAAAGCAAGCAGCCAGCCAGCCAGCCAGCCAGCAAGCCAGCCAGCAAGCCAGCCAGCAAGCCAGCCAGCAAGCCAGCCAGCAAGCCAGCAAGCCAGCCAGCCAGCCAGCCAGCCAGCCAGCCAGCCAGCCAGCAAGCAAGCAAGCAAGCAAGCAAGCAAGCAAGCAAGCAAGCAAGCGATGGTTTGGTCTAGTCTTACTTGGTTTGGTTGTTGTTGTTTGTCTGCTTCTGTTTGTCCGTGTCTGTGTCAGTCTGTGTCTGTGTGTGTGTGTCTATGTCTATGTTTGTCTGTCTGTGTCTGTGTCTGTGTCTATGTCTGCGTCTGCGTCGGTGTCTGTATTTGTGTCTATGTCTATGTTTGTTTGCGTCAGTGTCTGTGTTTGTGACTGTGTCTGTGTCTATGTTTCTGTTTGTGTGTGTTTGTGTTTGTGTCTGTGTTTGTGTCTGTGTTTGTGTTTGTATTTGTGTCTGCGTGTGTGTTTGTGTCTGTCTGTGTCGGTCCTGCCAGACTGACTGGCTGGCTGGCTAGCTGGCTGACTGTCTGTCTGTCTGTTTGTCTGTCTCCTTGTCCCTTGTCTCTTTGTTTGTTTGTTTGTTTGTTTGTTTGTTTGTTTGCTTGCTTGTTTGTGTGTGTGTTTGTTTGTTCGTTCGTTCGTTTGTTTGTTTGTTTGTTTGTTTGCTTGCTTGCTTGTTTGTTGTTTCTGTTTGTTGTTTCTGTTTGGTTTGTCGGTTTGTCGGTTTGTTGGTTTGTTTGTTTGTTTGTTTGTTTGTTTGTTTGTTGTTTGTGCTTGTTTTTTTGTTTGTTTGTTGGTTTGTTTTGTTTGTGTTTCTGTGTGTTTGTCTGTCTGTCTGTCTGTCTGTCTGTCTGTCTGTCTGTCTGTCTGTCTGTCTGTCTGTCTGTCTGTCTGTCTGTCTGTCTGTCTGCCTGCCTGCTTGCTTGCTTGCTTGCTTGCTTGCTTGGTCTGTCTGTCTGTCTGTCTGTCTGTCTGTCTGTCTGTCTGTCTGTCTGTCTGTCTGTCTGTCTGTCTGTCTGTCTGTCTGTCTGTCTGTCTGTCTGTCTGTCTGTCTGTCTGTCTGTGTGTCTGTTTGGCTGTCTGGCGTGTTTGCTTGTTTGCTTGTTTGTTGCCCGAGATGGCTGAGGACTGAAAGCGTTTTGCACGATTGACGGCTGGCTGCCAGAAAGCACGCTCACGCGCCTCCACCCATGCTAACACAGCTGATGGTGCTTGCCCCGTCACCAGCACCTCAAACAGCACCCCAAACAGCACCGGAAAACGGCACCTGCCACCTCAAACTGCATGCCCCAACACCCGGCCGTCAATCTCGCACAAATGCACTCGAATTCAATCAGAACAGCACCTACACCAGCACCCCGAGTTCGGGGTGGTCCGCCAATGGGTGCAGCGGCCGTGGACTCGCGGCGCGCTGTTGTTACCATGGGTGCAGCGGTTGTGGATGCGCTTGAGCGAGTTTTTCTTGTTTATGCCAGCATGGGCGCGGCAGTTGTGCCTGCGCAGGAGCATGTTTATGTGCATGTGTGCGAGCATGTGCGCAGCGGCGCAGACGGGTGCAGCGGTTCTGGTTAGTATCATTTGTGCCTGCATGGGTTCAGCGGTTGTGGATGCGCGTGAGCGCGTCTATGTTTGTTTGTTCCAGCATTTGGGCGGTTGTGCATGCACGTGTGCGGGTGCAGCGGTTGCAGATGCGCGTGAGCGTGTTTGGTATCACTTGCTCCAGCATGTTTGCAGCGGTTGTGGATGCGTGAGCGTGTGTATTTTCAGCTGCCAGAATCAGAATTGGTGCAGCTTTTGAGGATGTGCGTGAGCGTGTTTGTGTTTATTTGCTGAAAAAAAACAACAGACAAATCATGCAGTATGGCGGTGTCAGCAACAAACAGCGTGTAAACCAACAGACAACAAACGCATCAAGAAAGCCAAGCATTCCTTCAACCCAAGAAGCCTGCAACAACCCAAGCAACCAACCCAACAAAAAAGAAACAACACAAAACCAACCGGCACTTGCTGTAGCATGTTCGCCTTTTCACTCCTCGGACGCCCGTGGTTGATCAACATTGATCAATCATGCAAATACATACTAGGCCGAAAAAAAGGCTTCTTGCCATTGAGGAAGCTTCATGAGTGCTCGTGTGCTGCTAGGCTGAAGAGCAGTCGGCAGGCACTCCCGGCAAGAGTTTGAATGCTGAACTTGGGGCGGTTGAAAGCGGTGCACGGGTATGCTGAGGCAGCTTGAGTGACACTGGTCCACCAGAGGGTGACGGCGAAGGCTGGAACTTGAGTAGGGGCTTCTGACCCAACAACAACTGGGCTGCGTTCTTAAATTCCTGATTTTGGGCAGATTTTGCTAAGTGTTCCGGACTTTTGCAGGCAGCATTGGCGAGGAGAGCAAGGCAAAGAGTTCCTTGCGCCAAGGAGATTAGCTTTTGGTTTTGTTGTGCAGGCGGCCTGCGAGGAGGACATGCTGGAAGTGGCGCGCAGCCTTTGTCTACATGTAAACTGTGTTCCGGGTGTTCCGGGTGTTTCGGGCTTTCCGGGTCCAGCCGCCCAGCCCATCTGGCGAATCTCGTATCTTGTGGGTCGTGCAGGCCTTGGAAAGCCCAGCAGTTCCAGATGCCGACGAGGTAGATGAGGTAGAAGAGGTGGGACATGATGGGGGCATGCATCACAGCGACAACATGTTGGCTCTAGTCAAGACGCAGTGATGGTTGAATCGTTGCCGAGGATGTTGGCTATGCAGAGACAGTGCCATTCGTCAGTGGCTTGGGCTGGATTCTTCGTAAAGCGCTTCCAATTTGCATTGTAAGGTCACAGAGGGTGAGCCATGTGTGGTGGAGGAGGATTGCACGCCCCCAAGTGCGCTGAGCCATAAAATCAAAATAGCCAGGAGCTGCCAAGCCCAAGCCACGCCAGTGATGCAGGCTGGGAAAATCCCTGTGATGTGAGCTTGTGAGACTGCTTGCATCAGGTGAAGTTGGCGAGGTTGACGAGGAAGACTGTGCAGAAGCCTCAGGCAACATGACCCTGGGACTGGCGCCGCAGCAGGTTTGTAGCGCCTGAGATGACCCTGTTTCACTGCTTTGCATGCTGCTAATGATTTACGTACCGATGGTGCATGCTCACTAGGGAAAACATTGTGCGAAGATTCGAAATGCAGTTTGGAGGGCTTACCAAATCACATGGCTGTTGGCAAGGCGTGCGGATTTGGAGGCAGTCTTGCGAACAAAGATATAGCTCGCACGGCTCACTCGCTCATGGGCGTGCGCAATGCAGGTTCCGCGTGGTCAGGGCACGGCACACCTTACATGCTCATGTGGCCTGCAAAAGGCACGCGCTTCCCGATATTAGGGTACTGTACCTGTACCTGTGGGCATGCATCTCGGAGTTGGATCAGGTCTCACTCGCTGCAAGAAAGAATTGCCGCGGAGGCTTTGCCTGCCATGACCAGAAAAGCTGCAGGTGACAGAATTGCTTGAGCTGCATGAAGTGTGGCGAGTTGAAGCATTTGAGAGCTTCTTTGCCTCCTTTGAGCGCTGGATAAGCTCCTTGGCTCCAGGCGCCCTGAATGTGCCCATTGTCATGCATCGTTTTGCGCGAGGATTTGGCAAAGCATTGCAAAACAGTGCAGCAAACCATGGCACAACAGTCTAGAGAACAGTGTTGCGGAACAGCGCCGCAACAAACACACATGAAGCCAAACAGCAGAAGTGTTTCTTTCCGGCCGAAGCTCTGGTCAGCTATGCCGGAGGATGGCTTTCTGCAGAAGTTTCATGACCTTGCAAGTGTTGCAAACTCAGAGTGTTGCATGTTCGCACCGTGCTGCATTTGCGTTTGGCCAAGGGGGATGATGAAACGCGCTGCCGTGCGGCGCCACTTGTTTCAGTTAGGGTGGCAGCGCTTGAACACCACCCCCAGAAACCATTGCTTGCTCACCGTGTTCAGGGGATGGGACAGGCGGTCTTTCATTTGATTCGTATCTTGTTTTCAAGCCCCACTTGAATTTGGCTTGCTGGAAAAAGCTGCTGTTAAAGCTGGGGACATGTTTCAGGTGTGCGATCAGACGTGCCCTCACCAGCGGCAAGCTAGACAAGGATGAGCTTGCGCTTGGCCCTGAGAAAGCGTGACTATTTTGGCAGGAGTGGCGATCCGGAGGTTGCTGCCAATTTCGCGATTCGGGATTTAAATCACATTTCGGGATTAAATCACATCTTTGTGATTTGGGATTTGGGATTTGGCATTTTGGGATTCGAGACTCGGGATTCGGGATTCGGGACTCAAATCACATCTTCGGGATTTGGGTTTCAGGATTCGGGACTCGAATCACTTTTTCGGGATTCATGATTCAGGATTCGGGATTTGGGATTCGGGACTGGGAAGGCCCATCCTCAGATTCGGGATTCGGGATTCGGGATTCAGGTTTTGGGATTCGAGATTTGGGATTCCGGGCTGGGAAGGCCCATCCTCAGATTCGGGATTCGGGATTCGGGATTCGGGATTCGGGATTCGGGATTCGGGACTGGGAAGTTCCCATCCTCAGATTCGGGATTCGGGATTCGGGATTCGTGCGCGATTCACATTCTCCACCAGCTTCTCCGGATCACGTCTCTTTGGCAGACACTTATGCCAGAGCATGCAAGGACACACAACATGCAATGCAGACACCGCACGCATACAGTGACAGTACATATCCTCAGAATTGCTTGCCACATGAACCTAGGTACACTGTGCGAAGGTTAGTCCGCGGTGTTGGCACCTTGGTCATTCACAGGCAGCTTGATGATTGGCATTCAGCCAGAACAATAAGAGGTGATCAGCCTGGTACAGTGGCAACACAGGCCTCCGCGCGATTTCGGCTCAAGACTCAACACCAAGGAGCTGGATATGCAGCTGATACTCCCCAATGTTGATGCAACCCACTCATGTGTGCTTCCCTGTTCAGGTTGCAGTTGTTAGGCAGCCATTTTGAGGGAATGTTTGTTGTACAGCATTGGGACAACATCGAGTTTTCCCAACGCTCGGACCACAGACAATTCAAGCTTTGACAGTACAATTGAAGCATGAGCAATGCTGGCCATGTGCCGGCCGAGAATTTCGACGTGCCCTCGGATAGCTTGGTGGCTTGGCGGCAGACGCCCAGATTTGCGGTGGAGAACCCGCAAATCCGAGAACTCGAGAATCCCAGAATCTAAGAATCCGAGAAGTCGGGCATGGGAGAAGCCGGGAATGCGAGAATTCGGCAACCCTTCGAATCCGAGAACCCGAGAATCCTAGTATCCGAGAATCCCAGAATTCAAGAATGCGAGAAATCCCCGAATCACCGATAATGCGAGAATCTGAGAACCTGAGAACACGAGAATCCAAGAGTCCGAAATGAGTTTTCGAGACTCCGGGAGTGAACCCGAGAACTCGAGAATCCGCAAGCGCAAAAAAGATGGCGCTGGGAATAAGTTCTGTCATTTGGCTCGAGCTGCCGTTTGACAAGTCCAGCTCCAAACCCGCTTTGCCTTCGCGTGAACGCCAGCGCGGCCAATTGCACTGCCCAGGATGGCAATGTCTCTGCACGCTGGCAGTTCGCTGCACGGCGCTGGCGCTACGCGAATTACAACTGGTCACTCAAGGACTGCCACAAACAAACGCAAATGCGCGAGGTTTTGCAATTGGTGCTTATTGCCAAGCCAGCTGATGGCTGAACATGTTTTGCCGCTTTGGCAATTCCCGACTTGTGAATCCATCTGAGTCCACCTGCTTGAAAACGCTTGAGAATGCTTGGCACTTGACACATGTGGTGCTTGTGTCGTGTCCGCTCAGCACACGTGGCCGAGCTCGCTGGATGAATTTGTGCGGCAGTGGGGCCTGGAGAGCTGGGCGCTACAGGCGCTTCGGCCAATGTGCAGGCAGTCTTTGTTTTTTGGTTGCGCCGTTGTTTTCGTTAAGCCCCAGCATTCCACCCCATGTGCGCCTTTGATTTCTCCCCTTTGGTTGTACCAACTGCGACAACCCGAGCCCTGAAACGCATTCTGACGCGCCAATTCGCTGGAGCCTGGTGATCAGGTGGTGAAGGCTCTGCCCCGAGAGGTGCAGCAGGAGGCGGGCACTGCGCTCTCGCTGCTTTTGGATGCAGCTGATCTCTACTTACCAGAGTTTGTCTCGCGCATGACGATGCCGACCCTGCGCAAGGTCTTGCACGGGTTTGATGGCAGCAGCACCCGGGATGGCAATATTTCCCGACGCTTCCTGGGATATGTGCGCAGCAAGTGGGGGCAGCATTACGAATTGGACGAAGAGACTTGGATGCAATTGCAGCAACTGTAAGCAAGAAAACAGAAAGCCAGCTTCGCCTCGCTCAATATATTTTACTGAGTTATTCCAAAACAACTGCCTAGCCCTTGCACCAGATGGTCTTAGTTTCCCGTGCTGTAGCGGGGGCCCACTACGAATTCGTTAGGATTAGCTTTGAGCAAGCTAATTTTTCAGAGGAATCGGAGGATAGGCTCGACTTCTCCGAGGATTGCCTCTTCGCAATGAAGAAGATGCCAGAGGAGGGGCAGGTGCTGTGCCTGACCACCTTTGACCCTTCTTTGACACGAGACGGTGCTTGGCTGACACCGAAGGGAAGATGTCTCCCTGTGCTGAGCGACGGCCGTTCAAACCGCGCCAAGCCCGGCAGCTTAGGAAACATCTCGGCTCGCTTGCGGAGTTTTCTGTGGAAGGTTGCTACTTGGAATTGATCAGGGAGGGGTATTTTTTCTTCCCGCTTTTGGATTTTTGGCTTCTTGGCTTCTTGGCTTCTTGGCTTCTCGGCTTTTCAGCTTCTCGGCTTCTTGGCTTCTTGGCTTCTTGGCTTTTTGGCTTCTCGGCTTCTTGGCTTTTCGGCTTCTTGTTGGTTTATGCGGCTTTTGGTGGCTTTTTGGCTTTGGCTTTTCGCATCCTCTGCATTCCCAGTTGCTCTTCGGCAGGTGGCGTTTTGGCTTTTGCGGCTTTTCGCTGGTTTAGCATCCTCTGCTTTCCCAGTTCCTCTCCGGGCGTTTTAGCTTTTGCACCCTTTCATTGTTTTGGCTTCCCGCATCATCAGCGTCCCCAGTTTTCTCCCTTTTGAATCATCACTTCTTCGAACATCATGGGGGGGCTCCCCCCCACCCACCTGCTACTTTTTAGATTGTTTGCAGAGTAATTGCACCCCTATTTGAATCAACACTTCTTCAAACATCATGGTGGGGGCTGCCGCCTCCCCCCCAAGCCCCCCGCTACTTTTTGTATTTCTTGCAGAGATTTAATGGCACCCCTATTTGAATCATCACTTTTTCGAGCGTCCAATTTCGCGAGAAAATGCTGTAAAATACGACTTTTCAGGTGTCTGTATGTATGCACTTCTTCGAACATCATAGGGGAAGCCATCCCCGCCAACCGCTGCCTTTTAAATTCTATCGTACCCGTTCTTGAATCATTACACCCCTACTTGAATCATCACTTCTTCGAACATCATGGGGGGGGCTGCCGCCCCCCCCGCTAAGTTTTAAATTTTCCACACAGATTTAATTGCACCCCTATTTGAATCATCACTTCTTTGAACATCATGGGGGGGCGGAACCCCCCCGCTACTTTTTAGACTTTTTGCAGAGCTATTCGAATCATCACTTCTGCAAGCATCATGGGGGGGGCTGCCGCCCCCGCCCCCCCAACCCCCCCGCTATTTTTTATATATATATATATATATTTACAGGGATTGAAATGCCCTCCTATTTTAATCATCCCGTCAACCCGCCAGTTCTGTTACCCACGATTTGTTGGTGATGCTAGGGATGTTGGTTGGACATGCGGGGGATGTTGAAAACGATGCTGGGGATGTTGGCGGGCTAGTGCAAAATGCGTCAATGTTGCGAGAAATGCTGTAAAATACGATATTTTGGGACGAACAACGAAAAAACATAAAAAGCAAATAAAACGAACAAAAATCCAAAAATAAATCCGCACCCATTGATCAGGGTCTTTTCAAAGATGAATTTGGGCCTCTCAAAATAGGCATCTTTGCCAGCTGGTTTAGAGGAGCCCCGTGTAAAGCAGGTGGTTTTGGGACGTATACTTGAAGCACCTCCCTTGATGAGCCTGGGAGCGTGCCGCACATCAAGCCGGGCCTAAGGAAGCGCAGATCAAGGAGGGTGCCAGCGGCTCAGTCGCACAAGATGGTTGCTGTGTGCCTGCTTTTGCCGAGGACCGAGGATACAAGGGGCGCACTGGCTACGATAGATTCAACGGATACCACAAGTATACTAAGTATACCTACGAGGCTGAAGCCTACAACTACAACAAGATGAGTAGCGGTTATTGTCCTGAGCACCGAGATGCAATCCTCAAGCAGCTTGGATGCTTGTCACATTGAATCAAGGGCTGAAGATGCTGAAGCATGTAGGTGGTTGGAAGGCATGTAGGCAGGGACGTGGCCGGGGACATGAAGCCAATGACACCTGCTTCAGCTTGGAGTTCTAAATTTGAGAGAGCGTGCAGCCGGCTCAGTGGGATCCCACTGAACCAAGGTTTGTTTCTCAGTGGAATCTTGACCTTGCCGTGGGCGCCTACTTGGAAAGCTTGTGGCTTTGTCGATCGGAACGTTTGCGCTTTGCACTGCATTGTTCTTTGTGCTTGGTGCTATTTCCATGTTCGGCCTCGAAATTTTGGCCAGCTCATGACACCGGCACCAAAGGAAGGACCCTGACGTTGTTGCCAGAGTCTTGGAAGAGTTTGACCCCGTTGGCACGCAGGACTGGCTTCCCTGTTCTTTGCGAGCGAAACTTGTGAAGCGGCTGTAGTGGGAGAGAGAAAGAGAGAAGGAGGGAAAGAGAGAAAGAGAGAGAGAGAGAAAGAGTGAGAGTGAGAGAGTGAGAGAGTGAGAGAGTGAGAGAGAGAGAGAGATAGAGAGATAGAGAGAGAGAGAGAGACAGAGAGAGAGGGAGGGAGGGAGGGAGGGAGGGAGGGAGAAAGGATAGAGAGAGGGAGTAGAGAGAGAGAGGGAGGGAGGGAGGGAGGGAGAGAGGATAGAGAGAGGATGGGGAGGAGACAGAGAGAGTGAGAGAGTGAGAGAGTGAGAGAGTGAGAGGGTGAGAGAGTGAGAGAGTGAGAGGGTGAGAGAGAAATGGAGAAAGAGAGAAAGGGAGAAAGAGTGGAAGAGAGAAAGAGAGAAAGAGAAAGAGAAAAAGAGTGAGAGAGAGAGAGAGAAAGAGAGAAAGAGAAAAAGAGAAAAAGAGAGAAAGAGGAAAAGGGAGAAAGACAGAAAGAGAGACAGAGATAAAGAGAGAAAGAGAACAAGAGATAAAGAGAGAAAGAGAGAAAGAGAGAAAGAGAGAAAGAGAGAAAGAGAGAAAGATAGAAAGATAGAAAGAGAGAAAGAGAGAAAGAGAGAGAAAGAGAGAGAAAGAGAGAGAAAGAGAGAGAAAGAGAGAGAAAGAGAGAGAGAGAGAAAGAGAGAGAAAGAGAGAGAAAGAGAGAGAAAGAGAGAGAGAGAGAGAAAAAGAGAGAAAAGAGAGAAAGAGAGAAAGAGAGAAAGAGAGAAAGAGAGAAAGAGAGAAAGAGAGAAAGAGAGAAAGAGAGAAAGAGAGAAAGAGAGAAAGAGAGAAAGAGAGAAAGAGAGAAAGAGAGAAAGAGAGAAAGAGAGAAAGAGAGAAAGAGAGAAAGAGGGAAAGAGAGAGAGAGAGAGAGAGAGCGGGGGCGGCGTGCTCGCGCGCGGGTTTTGTTTTTCTTCTTACGTGTGGTCTTCACACTGCGATCACATACTCCTGCTGTTTGGCTCCTGGTAACCTGCGTACTCCGAGCAATGGGAACTAGGTTGTCCCCTAAATAGTGTCTACTCTAAGGGGTTCAAACGGAAAGAGTTGAGGCTGGATTAGAGCGAGGGTTCGCGTTCAAAGTGTCGGCCCTGTGTGTAAAAAAAATTCCCGGCAAGAGACCCCAAATAGTATTGCGCCCAACTTGACGACAGGTGGCCCAGAAGCATAGAAACACGTTAAATAAACACTGACGCCTCTCCCACCTGATGAGATCGTAAACACGTCGGTGCCCCTGCTCAAGCGTAGATTCTGATGAGCAAGCTCAGCATCATGCTTCACAATCTCTCCTGTCAACTTCTCGCGCGCGTGATGCTGTGGCTTGATGTTGCGCGCGAAGCTGTGCGTGATGTTGCGCGTGATGTTGCGCGCGATGTCGCATGACGTTGCGCGAAATGCAGCGCATGATGCTGCGCATGATGTTCTGCAACCTCTCTTGCCAAATCTTTCATGTCCTCTGTTGAAAAACTCTCTTGTCCATATCTGTGAGCAGCTGCTGGCAATTTTAGCTGCGGAAGTGTACTTTGCATACTACCTGAACCGCGCGAGCGCGCTTCGCGCGCACGTTGCCATTTACGATTTTGCAGCCGGAGCTGCGGGAATGCACTTTATGTACAACTTTGGACTTGAGAGTTGCGAGCCTCGTGCCATGGGAACGCACTTCTTTGCAGCTGGAGCTCCGGAGCGCACTTCGCGTAGGACTTTTGCACTAAAAACCTGCCAATTTCGAGCTGGAGCTGCGGGAGTGCACTTCCAGCACTACTCTTGTACTATTTTGCAAGCCGGAGCTCTGGAGTGCGCTTCGCGTACTACTTTTGCACTTGAAACTTGCGCTTCGACACGCACGATCTCCGCAGAGGGTTCGCTGAGCTCAAGACACATTCGCACGGCGCCACAGCCAGAGCGAATCGACACGCACAATCTCCGCAGAGGGTTCGCCGAGCTCAAGCACGGCGCCACAGCCAGAGCGCTTCGACACGCACGATCTCCGCAGAGGGTTCGCTGAGCTCAAGACAAATTCGCACGGCGCCACAGCGAGAGCGCTTCGACACGCACGATCTCTGCAGCGGGCTCGCCGAGCTCAAGACAAATTCGCACGGCGCCACAGCCAAAGCGCTTCGACACGCACGATCTCCGCAGAGGGTTCGCCGTGCTCAAGAAAATTCGCACGGCGCCACAGCCAGAGCGCTTCGACACGCACGATCTCCGCAAAGGGTTCACTTTCGGCTTGCAACGTTTGCAAATGAGCGAAACGCTGCGCCTGCCACGAAATCGACAGACCCTGTTTCCGAAAATGCTGCGCCTGCCACGCATCATTTGCATCAGCGCAAAACATGCTGCGCCCACCACGAAAAATGCGCGGCAGTCTCACAGAATGCTGCGCTGGCCATGGAATTCTGCGGCAACACACAAATCCGAAGATCGGCGCGGCGCCACAGCGAGAGCGCAGTTTTGAAGAAAGGTCCGTTTCGTGCGAAGCTGTCGCACGCGAGACAA